GACAGGCCTGCACCTTTCAGCCCAGGGAAAACCCAATGGGAAGCCCTCACCAAGGAAAAGTTCCAAGGTAAGAGATGCTGTTTCGGGCAATTGGTTTGGTACAGGACCAAGACTCCTGGCAAGCTCACTCTCGATCCAAACATGGCGCCTGCGCTCTTTTTGGGTTGGAGGGTCGATCCGGGGTTGCGGTACCGTAACGTGGTCAAAGTCATGGACTATGAAGCCTTCCGCAAAGATGGTTCCATTTCCGTTCACGATGTTCCTGAACCGGAATTGTTCGTTGAAGACGGACCCCCAAGCTTTCCGATTGCAGCAGCAGCAGATAGAGCATTGCATGGTGGCAAGACAGAAGGGTCTGATCCCCCACCTATGCCCCTGCGAGAGGCGCCCTTCGGTGCCCCACCGACTCCATCCGCTGTCAAGTCAAAATCCGTGTACATAACTGTTGAGAGGATCATCAAGTTCAAGGAAACGCCAGGTTGCCGTGCATGCACCGGTCATTCCAAGATTCACAGTGCCGAATGCAAGAAGAGGTTCTCCGAACTTGTTTCTGCAGATCGAGCTGAAGCAGCTGCAAAAAGCGCTGCCAAAACTGAATCTAAGGAACCCATTCCCATTGTTCATACTGAAGGGGATGAGGAGCTAGCTAGAGCAATCCACGCATCCGAGCATGGAGAGGATCCTAAGCCCGCAGTTAGTGCAGAAGATGTTGCGCATGAATTTGATGCAGCCGAAGCTGGGGAGCCCGCTCCCTCAAGACCCGGTGGCTCATTTTTCGATACCGCGCCAGCGACAGCCGCTACATCGCAAGGTGAAGATTTTTGGGTGTTCAAAGAAAATGCCAACTGTTTGGTTCGATACCATATCATGCCAAGGCAGAATCTTTTTACCCCAAAAGAGGTCGAGGATTGCCCCGTTTCCCCAGAAAGATTTACTGCAGCTCGCACCACTCGTGCCGTGTTTCAGGGGGGCAAAGCAGACAACATCCATGATGGTTGGTTTGGTAGCCGACCCAATCGCTCACTTGGAGATGCATGGACCGGGTTCACAGTGTTCAAGTTAAAACCCATTCTGTCCGATTGTGTTATCACCACAGGTGCAGCCGTGATGTTAGACTCCGTACCGCCGACACCTCTCACCGAAGCGTCAAGGAACGGTCGTCCGAACACATTGCCTGTTTTCGGCATGCCATGCAGCGCAGAAGTTGAAGCTCCACAGCGCAAGCAGTTTGAGGTTGGAAATCATCGTGCCCGCAAGAAACAGGCACGTATTGACAAGTTGCCTGTGATGTTCGAATACGCATGTTCACCAGAGTCCAACATGGGTCGCGTGTTTGAAGGTCTTGGCATACCTCATGTTAGGCTGGCTAAAGAGTTTATCGACCTCAGCACAGATGAAGGAGAAATCCAGTTGCAGTCGCAGATTGAAGGTTGTGATAAACCCAATCTCTGGGCCGCAATTCCCTGTACATCAGGTTCAGCATGGCAACGCCTTAATAAGGCCAAGTTAGGAAGCCAGTTCAAAAAGAAACTGAAGCAAAAGGTTAAAGAGTCGAGAGAGTTGTTCTCCAGATTCAGACGTCACGCAGAGACTGTCCTCCATCAGGGGGGTAGTGTTTCGTTTGAATGGCCAAGGGATTGCGACAGCTGGGCTAGGGATGATGTTTCTGCATTCTTTAGAGATACGCACACGTCTTCACCCCAGCGACCTTCCATGGTTGCGCCCTAGGCCTGAAGGACAGCAATGGCTATCCCATCAAGAAGCCATGGAAAGTCATGACCAGCAATAGCACACTCGCATCCGCACTAGGTGCATTCAAGTGTCCGCACGAAAAAGGGTATAAGCATTCGCTTGCAGCAGGTAACAAGACCGCAAAGACCGCTTTCTACCCTGAAGGCATGTGTCTCACAGTTGCCCGTGCGCTGTATCCGACAGTTCAACCCGTTGTGCCTGCGATGCCTGTTCAAGTGCCATTGCCTCTCGATCACCGGGAACGTGAACAGCAGTTGAAGCACATATCCCCTCTCTCCGGTTTGGAAGATATAGGTGTTGCTGTTGAGTCCGATGAAAAGTGTCACAACATTCTTGAGCAAGTTCTTGATGTTGAAAATCTCATCGCACATTCCCTAGGACAAGTCAAAGAGAAGAAGGATCCTGAGATCACCGCAATGGTGACCAGACTCTTGTCACGTGCCGAAATGTTGGCTTCCCCGGAAGCTCTTGAAGCCGTTCGACTTGAAGCCACAGGCCTGGAGAAAGCCGGTGCTTGGGATCTAAATTCAGTCCGAGAGTATGATCCAGTCGCTGCTGAGGCGCGACGATCCAGTATAAAAGTTCATTTCGGGCAGTTGATGTCGCTAGCGTCCGTCAAGTTCGCCGAACTCGCGAAACACCTTCAGAAGATGAAAGGTAGGATTGTGTATCGCGGAGACTGTGCGAAAGATGAACACGGCGCAGCAGCTGTCTACCAAGAATTGGGAGCAAATCCCACGAGCGTACAAGGTCTTAATAACTGTCTCGCTTATGGATCCCTGCCAGGGAATTCCACCACAACAGCGGACGCTATAAAGGCTTATGTGCAAGCACTGCTGAAGTCCAAGTACCAAACTTGGATCACACTCCCGCCTGAGCTCCGGCCAAGGTGGTGGCGCGAGCGTTTCGTGAAACCTGTGGTTTTGCTCGTTAAAGCTCTTTATGGGCATCCTGACGCTGGCGGACTCTGGGAGGCACACCTCAAAGGGTTCATTAGTGAACTTGGAGGGCGTGAAGTCGCAGAGTTTCCTGGAAACTTCTGGTTCAAGGAGTCCGGGTTACTTCTCTCGACATACGTCGACGACTTGACGTTGGCCGGCCCCAGCCACCTTCATAAAGACTTCTGGGAAAAGTTAACAAGACTGGTTGATATAGAACCCCCAGAAGACATATATCGGGTGCTAGGCAGGAATCACCTTTTGATAGATGCTCCAAAGGACCCAACTGAACCCGATCTTAATGCCGCAATGGGCAGATTGAAAGGGGGCATGGCGTTCGACATGCGGGATTATGCCCGTCAGACCGTGGCATTGTATCTTGAGGTTGCACAGCTAAAAAGTGAAAAGCTGCGCGATGCCACCACTCCATTCTGTCCCGCTGGATCCCTAGATCCTGCAGATGACGCCTTGGAGGGTGAGCTCGGCTTTGCCGCTTGCCGCGTGTTGATGAAAGCCTTATGGCTCGGCCGTTTGGCACGCCCAGACCTGGTCAAGCCCATTGGCGACCTTGCCTCATTTGTTCAAAAATGGTCTAGAAACTGCGATAAGCAGCTACATAGGCTTGTTTGCTACATAAACAGCACGGTCAACAGCACGCTAGTAGGCACAGTCCAAGATTCGACTGAGGATTTGCATCTGTCCCTTTATGTGGACGCCGATTTCGCCGGAGAGCGAGATGCAAAATCCACGTCCGGAGGATTCTTGATTTTGAGTGGTCCACACACGCATTTTCCACTTGCGTGGGTATCCAAAAGGCAGACATCGGTCTCCCGATCAACGACCGAGGCGGAGATTGTATCTCTCGCATACTCCCTTTATCAGGAAGCGCTCCCTGCGCTAAGCTTGTGGGAGCTGATCTTGGACCGACCATTCCATCTCAAGATCCACGAGGACAACCAGGCGACTATCCTCGTAGCAAGGAAAGGTTTCTCATCCAAGCTACGCTGTGTCCAGCGAACACACAAGGTGAATCTCGCGTGCATCGCAGAGCAGCTTGAAAGCGAACACATCTCGATAGAATACGTCCAAACCGACATGCAGTCAGCGGACATCTTCACGAAAGCACTTCCACCCAACAAGTGGGACCATGCCATCCGGTTGCTCGGCATTCGTGTTGACCTTCCAGAGAAGCTTGAAGACGTTCGTGAAAGTAGAGCCGCTAAAGCAGCTGCCTAGTGCGCTGCAGCATGTCTGCAAAATTTCCAAAAGTGTGCAAAGTGCCTGGGTGATGCTTGAATAACTTGTCAGTCGTTGTGATGTAAACTTGACTTCAAGTTGGCGTGGTAATGCGCCCAAGACACTCCCTCAGTGCCGTCAATGAGGGGGGAGTCAATTATCACGATGACATTTATGGCCCAGAGGTACATGCGGTAGGTCCCCATGTAGTCAGTTGCATGTTGTACATTCAAGTGGTTGCCAAAGCATGATCCAATCACTGCTTTGGCTCAAGTGCTGAAAACAGCGCGTTGCACCGCGCTAGCCCCAAGGTTAAGGGAGAGGTCGCAGTCACGGAGGGGTTCGTTCCTTTTAAGGTCCCGGGTTCCCCCGTTGTTGACAAAACTGTGTTTCCCTCTCCTTTGAGTGTTTTAGGGGGAAATATAGGGAGCCCAGTAGGTTGGCCCCCTTTCGGCATTTCCGGACGTTTTCTGTTGTCCGTTTTTTGTTCACCCACACCTGCAGTTCACTCGGATAGGTTTCCTGCAAGAAAGACTCTCAGGGCGACAGGTGCTTACAAGGACCAGGCGATCCAGACATCTTCCGCTCAACTTTGGCACAGTCTCATGTGTTCCGATGACCTTTCACGCGAGACATGCCCCTCCAGAAGGTCAGAAGTTGATGGGGGCAAGAGGGAGCAGTTTGTTCGCCTGCGCTGGTTTTCTGCGCTGGACCCTCATGGTTCTTCCTTTCCGCGAGCAAAGGTCCCAGCAATGAGATGGCCAACGCATATCAATTGGCCTAAGACTCCCCTTGGCTTCGGATAACTCATGCAATTCTTGGCTTCTTGGTCTTTGTTGGTGGCAAGCGAGTGAGAAGACTCCAAACCGAGAATCATAAGTACCGGAAGTCACCTCGCAGAAGGAAAAGGTGGACCTCTTCTTTTGTGGCTAATTCGGGCATCAGACATTGTTCAGCAACAGAAACACACTTATTCGGTGTTTAAACCGGTTTTTCCCCTCTTTTCCCGTTTTTGTTTGGTTGGGGGTCCGAAGGTTGGGGCCCCGGGGCCCCGGGGTGGGCGTGGGTCCTGAGGCCAGCGGACCCGGCGGCGGAGAAAGGCACGCGCGTGACGAGCTGCACGGCGCAGGCGGTGCAGGGGGCGGCGGAGGTGAAGGCGCCCAGCTTCCCCGAGGCCAGCGTTCGCCGGGGGTAGGGGTTCGTCCTCTCTGGGATCTTTGTGGGGTGTGTATTTTCTTCTTCTTTTTTCTGGGACCGCAAGAAATGGCGAGGTCGTTGTCTCTTCCGGTGAAAGGCAAAAAGAAGAACGGGGTATATTGGCTTTAAAGAGAGTGGTTGGTGGACATGAATTCCCAATTGGTGTCCACCAAAGTCAAGACCATTCCGGTACAGGTGTATGTTTTTGAGGGTACCAATTTTTGGGTTGGCTCAACTTTTCCGCATCGCCGGCCAAGGAACGAGCAGAAGGTAGCTTTCTTTTCATTGGTCTGATCATTTTTCGAGCTCGGCGTTTCGAGGGTTGTCTGATCAAAGACAGATTTGGGTGTTCTCAAAATAGGGCCCTAGAAAAATGGTTTTGTTTCCTTTTGTCTTCCCTCTAAAACAATCCCAAGAAGGGTCCCCATTTGCTCCCAAGTGAGTTGATTGGTCACCGATCGGCTGGTAGACTGGCCTCTCGTTGCCTCAGTAGCTCACTCTGTCCGAGCTCTCGCACCGAGTTTTTTTTTCCGCATCTGATTTCGGGCAACCTCCGATTCAGACATCATTTGATAGAGCAAATTCAAGTGGTCAATTTGCATCTTTCGGGTTCGGATCTGTGCCACAGGCGTACCCAATTCACGGGGATTTCTCGTCGTTTTGGTCCAAATCGTTTTTTTGTTTTTGGTTTGTTTTCCCTTTGAACACCAACCATAGGTGTCCTTTTTGGTTGCCTTGCTAGAAACATAGATGTCGATTCCTGGTTACCTGGTGGTTTCATCATCTACCAGGGAGACCCATCTATTTTTCCTAGAAGGACACCTATGACACCAACCCCGTGGTGTTTCTCCAATCCTTTTCTCTCGCCCCCCAGAACACGTCGCACGCGCGGCTCCCTTCGCGAGGAGCTGAAGACGGCGGGGCTGGAGCCGCTGAAGATCTGCGGCTCGAAGGTCACGTGGTACCGCCCCACCGACTTGGCCTCGCTGCTGCTGCTGAAGCAGGCGGATAGCGCCGCATGCCGCCCACCACCAACGGCTCCCGCAAGGCCCCAGCCCAACCAACCGCACCTAGCCCTTGGTTTTCATAGGGTTTGGGTCGGCATCATTCTGTTTGATGGACGTTTGTAGGTTGCAATTGTAAAGGCCCTCTTGGACGTATTTTGTTTCTCAACCCCAATAAAGGGAAACCTCGAGAAACCTGGGTTGCGGGCTCTCATTCATGGTCTTGGAATTCTGGCATCGGCCTTCGTCCTGGTGTGTATCCGGCCTCCGGCCAGGCGGAGCCAAAGGCAAAGATGGTGGCGGGCAACACAGAAGTTGGCATTGAGATGAAGCTTCTTGGCCTGACGGAGGTCGGTCAGGCGGACCGTCTCAAACAAATGATGAAAGGACAATGTGTGTAACATTCAGTTGAACCAACGTGTTGGAACCCATTCAACGGGTCAAGTTTGGTCTTGCAAGCTGAAATATTCCAAGCCATGCCAAATTTCGGGGCCCACCAAGTCATTGCCGTTGAACTCACCAATACATGGAGCATTAGCCGTAAACCAATAGTCACCAAAAGTCGTGCCACCCAGTTTGTTTACTGCTTCGTGCATGAGAGTGGGCCAATTCAGTGACAGCAGGGAGAATGCAGCCGGAAACTGGGGACATGAACATTGCCCCCCACCTGCTTGGAACGCAGTCATGAGCCATGTTTGTGGAGAAATAGGTTTTGGGGTTGCTTTCTGCGGAATCTTGTACTACCAACAACAATATACAACGACATATAGTGGCAGCATAGTCATCTTAAATGAATTGTTTATTGTCTTACAATCAACAGAAACACAAAGACGCAACAAACACAAAAAGACGACAACACGACTGCTAGGTGTCGAGGAACGCCACTGGAAGTACATAGCCCTTGTTCATATCCCTTGGCTGCCCTGGTGTCCAACCCACTTTGGGGTATCTTCCCCTTTTGGGGAGAGGGGTAGGGGGGGTCAAAACGAGGGAGGGGGGGGGGGGGTCAAGAAAAAGGAGGGGGGTCAAACAAATATTGTGGGGGGTCAATAAAATGATGGTTCCAACATCAGGTTCATTTGGTTCAAGGGGTATGTTTTCAAGGGCTATGTGCCTCCGCACCCCCTGCACCGGGAGGTTTAAGCAGTGCGAGTACCCGGTGACCATCTCCACCGTCGCCGTAAAGGAGCTCCACAGCTTGCGCTTCGAGGACAAGACTTTGGTCATCGGAGGCGGGGAGGCATCCGGTGGTGCTCCCGTGTCTACCAGCATGTGGCTGTCAAAACCGCTTTGGGATCCCATTTTGGTTGGTAGGTGAATTCAATTCCCCCATTTTGGAGCCTAAAATATAGTGGGTGGATTGAATCGGAGGTTCGCTGGGGGCACGAAATTCGGATTTTCAGAACCCCCCAGCTTATGAACAAGGTGCCTCCCAGGGTTCCCCACATGGCTGTGGCTCAAGCCAAAGATGCAAAATGCAAAATGGCACCAACCTGTTTCTGATGGGGGGAGGGGGCAACGAGCGATTTTCAGCCCAAGAATCTCAGCTCAGGGCGCAGGTTACTTGAAAAACCATTTCTTATTTCCGGTTTGTGAGGAAAAGTAATTTGGCAGCTGGTTACCCCCCATAAAGTTTCGCCACCACAGTGGATCAGTAGGTCCCAAATCCTACTTGGATTCTTCTTAGCGGAGGTATATTTCTCGGGGTATGACCCACTTACTACTTGCTGGGTCGGTTTGCTTGAGCTTGACATGCGAGCTCACTCGAGGCGCGGTGACCCTCAGCACGCTGGAGCACTTTCTGGAGAGCCAAGAGCTCCCGCAGCGCTTCCAGGCGCATCAGGGATGCATTCTAATGGGTTCTTTGGGGACGTAGCATGGCAAGTGGAGAACCAGGGCTACCTTTTCCACTTTCTAAGTACCCTGCCCTTTTGAACGCCCGAAGGCGGTGGGATGCCACTTGGGCTTGTTCTTCTCGGAGAGGTTTCTGGTGCAGCAACCGGCAGAACTTCCGAGAAGTCAACTGCGACGCCAGCTTCAGCCGTTTGGCTCTGTCGAAGGGGATCGTTCACCGATCGAAACGCCCTTCACATGGGGTGACCATTAGGGAGACCACAAAACAAATGACTTTCACCGCTACATGGGACAAGTGACCCATGGTCATTTTGGGTCCAGGAATATTGATCAACCCCCAGGTGTCATTTCCAGTCGGCTTTAGTATTTTTTTATGCAACCAGTTCAGTTGGACTGCACAGCCCCAGTAGCTTGCAGCAGGCATTTAAGCGCACGTGACGGGCAAACTGCAAGCGGCCAGTGAGCGATCCGCTGCTAAGCTCGGGCCTAAGAAGCAGATGTGAAGAAACTGCACGGTGCAATTCCCTTGGAGTGTGTTTGCACCCTCTGAATTTCTGAGTCCCGACTAACCAAATATTTCCTTGAGTTGTTTTTCTTAGTGGGTCTTTGTTCAGGGTTCCGATTTTGAAGTCATTTTCTTGTTGCCTGACCCAAGGCCATGAGGTGCCTGCCTCGCCTGCAATTGCTGAGGCGAATGGGATGACATCTGGTGTGTGGCTTTTGGGTTAATCCTGCACCACTTTGAAACCATGGCAAACCATTGTTTGTGTGCATTTGTAGGGGAATCATCATTCCAGGGTTTCTTGGGTGGTGCGAAATGGATTTCGCAACCATCCACAGTAGGTGTGCACTTGAGCAACTCGTAAAATTCCTGGACAGGCATGTCAAGGTAGACTAAATATTGGTGCGTCTTCTTTAGGGCCCCCCCCGCCCCCATTTTTTAAAGAAGCAACAACAAGGGTTGGTTTCCTTTTGGTTTCCCTTCAAACCGTCCCAAAAACGGTGCCCGCAAAAGAACAGACACCCTTATGAACGCTGGAATAAACCACAGTAGCTTTTGGCGGCTTTGGCCGGGCTTGCCAACTGTTGCTGCTCTTGACTACGCCTTGAGTAGTGAATGCTCCCAAGAGCTTCACAAGGATGGACGGCACTTGGGAATGCATGTTTGGCACATATTTTTGGAGCAGCAATCACCATGCGATTGGAGGGCTCTTTGCTGTGTAAGGCCCTGTCCTTGATCCAGCAAGGTCCACCACCTTCTCTAATTGCCTACACCAAAACTGTGCGGGGAATAGGGGGACGGGTCGTTGACCACATGCTGTACAAGAGTGCGTTGTTTCTTTACTGGGACTGTACTGATTGAGCCGCCAGAGATTCGAGATGAGGTCAACAGTAGATCGGTCATCGTCCATTTGGAAGGGGTGTTGGGGACTCACGGAGCTTCCATAAACACCAGGGCAGGGGACTCGCTATCCTCTAGGGCAAACAAGTGATGTTGATCGAGGCTTACATGGACTGGCCGCAAGTGTCTGAATAAATTGTATTTAGAAAAGCCCCTCCCCCATCCACAACCCAAGAGCATGGAGTTTACTGTGCAGCGTTCTGCTCCTCCATGGAGGCACCGCGGCTGCGCTCAGAGCCTTTCGCGGAAGCCGCGGGAGGCGAACCGGTGGCAGTGGCTGGCGGGTGCGGCGGCTGTGGCGGGCGCCTGGGGACGGCCCACGGAGAACGAAGGACCGCTGGTCGACGTGTTGGTCTTGCCGGTGTTGACACGGCTCCCATGTTTTCCGGACGGTTTCAACCGCAGGTTTCCTTTCGGGATAAACCTTTAACAGGGGAAATATCGGGTACAACCCAAGTAGGGGGGCAATGTTGGCCCCATGTTGACCCCTGTTTTTTGCTAGGGGTGATGATGATTCCCCTCCAACAAGTGGCCTGATTTCACGGCGGAAAAAAGGGAACCTCTGTGCGGGGTATGGACACGTGTCAATCTCTGTGAGGACCCAGGAAGGCTCCAGATGTCTCCTGCGAGCCTCTCGGGCACAGAAAACCGGAGAAAAAAGAAGACGGACACGGACAGGCAGTGACTAGGCGGTGACTCGTTCTTTTGCGGGGTTTTCTCAGGTGATCCACAAATTGCTGGTTTGGATGGTTTGGGTTTGGATTTGCTCGCCTGGCTCCTGTGTGGAATGGGACAACCACCCCCAAACTGACGGGAAGGTCTAGGGAAACTTCAGAGTCCGTGGTTTTTTTGCTCGGGAAAGAAACGCCTTGCCAAAGGACGCCCACTGCACGAAGACTTTTTTTCTCCCCCGCTGGAGCCGGGCGCAGCGCAAAAAAGAACTCCGAAAGAACTGCCGGGAATCACTATCTTCCATGTGTTGCAAGATCGCTCCGGCATGAGGTTGTGCCAAAACGGAACCCTGGTAAATGGAAACATGGACCAAAACCTGCAGTCCTATTGTGATTTAGTTTTGACCTATACCTTAGCAGAGCTTTCTGCTACAAAGTTCGGTGGAAAAGGGGGGGAAGCCAGTCAAGAGGGAGGTGGAACACCACAAGCAGAAAAGAGCAACGAGAGCAACAATAGAACAACGACTCAGACAATAGAATGGAACAACGACTCAGAAAATACAATGGAACAACGGCGAGGCTTGCGGGGGGAATCACAACGTCCGGCACTCGAGGCACTCGGTGGAGATGATAAATTGGAGCGGCACCCACGGCTTGACCACTAGCTGCTTGGTCTGAGAGGTCTCCTTTCATCCCCGCATCCGCATGTGCAGGGATTTTTTGCACTATACAGTTGTCACCCAAGTGCAAAACAGACAACGGCAACATGACAAGCGGAATCGGAGCAACGTGAAAACCTGGATTCAATAGTTTCTTTTGTCTTTCGAGCTCGTATCCCAAGGTGAATATGATGGCCTACCCACAAGACCTCCATAGAAAATGGTTCCCAAGAAACTTTGGGGGTAAGGCAAAAAAATGCAGGCATGCACCCAAAAATGGTACTCTTGGGCAGCAATGGTTTTGGTGAGGCAAAGATTTGCAGGCATCCAAGAGGGGCTCCCAAAAATGCATTGGGGAGGCAGCTCCCAAAAAGACAACCTTTGGTGAGGCAAAGGTTCGCAGGCATGCCAGTCAGGCCCTAAAAACTTGCTTTTGGGAAGGAGGAGCAGCTCCCCAAAGGAACAGTCACCCTGCAGCACTAGCATCATCCGCATTACGCCTATTGTTTTAGGAGTGTGCTCCCTCCCCAAAGCGCAGTTCTTGGGCCCCTCTTGCATGCCTGATTTGCAGCCTCGCCAAACGCGGATTTTAACATCACCTCTTCATCCATGACACTGTTCTGGAGCACCTCTTCCCTGCCTGTTGTTTTTAAGGGGCTGTCCCTCCCTCAAAGCACAGCTTTTTTTGAGAGCCCCTCTTGCATGCCTGCGAGTTTGCATCACATCTGCATCTGATGCTGTTCCGGAGCCCCCCCGGAGCCTGTTGCTTTCGGAAGCGTTTTTGTGGCTCGAGTTTGGTTCTCTCCTTTCCTTTTTCAACTGTTAGGGACCCCAGACAAGACTTTTCCAATGCGCGCGGAGTGCTCCACGCGAACCGTGCAAGCTGACTGCGGGAACTTTGGTGCATTTTGCCAAGGGATGTTAGGACTTTTTACTTTTCGCCAACTATTGGGTTTTCCGTTAAAAACAACAAAAAGCACGCCAACAGGTAACCACTTTTAGCAGGGGAGCAGAGTTTGCCACCAAGACATGGCTGCTTTTCCTTTTTTTGGTTTTGGAGGGAGTCTCTCACGCGGACAATTTTGTGTTTCCAGGGTGGCCCCTATCGAGCGAGCTGACCGAGGGAAGCTCTTCCAGCCGGAGAGCGAGCGGCAGCTCTTGGAGCTCTTGCGCTGGGCCTCCCAGGCGAAGCAGAAGGCAAGGGCTGGGCGGGTGGCCCCAGTGCTCGTTTCCATGGAGCCCGACAGTTCTTTCTTTTCTTTTTTTTTTTGGGGGGGGAGGGGCGTTCTTTCTTTTATGTTTTTCTTCTTCTCTGCAATTTCTTCTATTATTATTGAATTATTATTGTGATTATCAAATATGATTGATATAATTGTTTGTTTGGTTGTTTTTGTTTTCTTAATTAAATGGACACTCTGCTGGGCTCCACGTTGGTGACAGGAGGGTATTCTCCTCTTGGATTTTCTTTTCCGACCAGAAAGGGGCTCCCTCCGAAAAAAGACAGAATGGTGGGAAAACCCCGCTTTTGGTTGGTTTACCTAAATGGGGACTTCTTTTTTGCAAGCAAACCGAGGATGTGCAATTTTGGCGGAGGCTCTTTCTTCTTTTTTGGGGGCAACACCTAATCCACCAGGTGTATGAATCCGAAGTCGACAAACATCCGTTGGTCCAGCGAGACTGAAGCCTGACTTCGGGGTGTTCTCTTTTGTTGGTGGCTCCTAGCCATCCGGTTCTTGCCTTTTAGTGTTTAGTGGCAGTTTCCATTCCACTAAAAGTTTGTGGATCTGCGGGTAGCCCAGTTTTGGTCCAAGCTAACGTTGCATTTGAATGGCCCCAGTCATAGGACTGAGACCCAGACATCTCTACAACATGAACGGGAAAGAAACTCTGAGTGCGTGCTAAAATGGCTGGGTTTTCCTATGTTTTCCCTCATTCCCTGCTGAGGAATCCCAGCAAGTTAGGCAAAGCGGAATCCCGGAAAATGGTGAAGAGAGAGCGAAAGAGTCAGCCCCGTGTCAGATGTGGTAGCATGGTCTGTGGCCAACTTTGGCCAACAGTCCATTTTGAACATTCCAAGAATCGTCTTCTTACCAACGGAGAGGATACTTGCTTGTTTGTTTGTTTGTTTGTTTGTTTGTTTGCTTGCTTGCTTGTTTGCCTGGTTGTTTGTCCCTCTACCATTTTTTTTCCGAATCTCCTTAAACGCCACCAGGAGAACACCACCATTTTGTGGGTGCCCCGACGGAAAAACAAGAAGAAAGAAACAAAACACGAGCCGCCCGTGTCGGTTTCTTCTGCTCGTTTCGTTTTCGCTTCGTTGCATGGAGGTGCGGCCGGTGGGCATGAATCTGTCGCCCAATGGCCTGGCGCTGCAGGAGCAAGGCATGGTCTCCATGTCGGAGCTGGATGCCATCAGAGGCGGGGGAGGGGGAGGGGAGCTGGGGGGGAGGGGGAAGTTGGTGGTCACAGGTCCTTTTTTTCAGAAGGGTATTCTTCCATTTCCCGGAAAACCTGGTGGTGGGGCATCCTGAGAGGGCCGGGGGGGGGGGGGGTGGTCCAGGGGGGGGGGGGTTGGGGGTTGGGGGTTCGCTAAGGAACCTGAAGCAAGCTCAGAATCTTGGAACCCTAAGGAACCTCAGTGCTCTCAACTCCCCCCTCAGGGATTCCATAGAGGTGGCTCCATTTGCCAGCGTCGTTTTTTGATCGGACCCCCCTTTGGTAGGTTTTAAAGGCACCGAAACGAAGACCACTCATTTTGGAGGGTCTACAACAAGACACACCCATTTACTTTCAACCGAGGAAACTCCCTTTAAAGACGTTTAAGCAATAGGTGTTTATCCCATGGTCTCTTCGCGGGGGGTCGGCGCAGGTGGCAAGTCAATCCAGCTTTACACATGGGCTTCCTCCAGTTTGCGTCTTGTCACGGGGCTTCAAGGCACTTTGGATTGACGGCGTGTCAACCAGTTTTCCATAACCTGGATTTTCTCCATCCACAGTTGCGGGCCTCCAGTGCCGAAGCCTTTGCAGATTTGTATTGGAAGGAGGTCAGGGGGTCAATGAGCCACAACCATGAAACCACGCGCTGTGCAGATCACCCGCCCTTGTTCATTCTGTGCGTGTTGCCCTGGGCAAGAAGGACTCATTTCGGCGCGCTTTTATGTGGCGACAAGGTGCGCAGTCTGGCATGCGTTTTTTTCTTCTTCTCTTTTTTTTTTGGTTTTAAAATCAATTTATGTTTTTCCCCTTCACTTGGGGATCCCTTAAATTCAGCTGGAATTATGGTGACAGCTTGCAGAATGACTTGGGCATGGGTCAAAATGAAACCACCAGAGGACCGCAGGCTTTAGTCCATGTTTCCATTTACCAGGGCAATCCATTTTGGGTTACCCTATTTTTGACCCACAGCCGCTTGTCCAATCATAGAATCAAAGGAGATTACCTCAACAGACCCAGAGGTGCTTGCAGTATCTGGCATCGAGGGACTGCTACTTGAACGGGTGGGACAAGCCAACCGAAGCATGAGTGCAAAGTAGGCTATAGCTATGGCTGGCCAAGTGCCTGACATCCGTGGACAAAATCCTGCGCCAGTTGGGATGGATGAAGCCCTGGCGTGAAAGCTGGCGGTCAATTTCCCCCATTTGGCGCGCTTCATGGCGAAGTCTCCTTTTTGCAGGGCGGTTCTCTTGGCAACACCGGGTTTCCTCCACTTCCCTTTTTGGAGCCTCCAAAAGTGGCGATCGTTTCAATAAAGAAACCACCAGTCAATTCATCAACTTATGATTTGTGGAAGTCCTGTGACTCCTGACCTCCAAACCCAGTCACTCGGGATAAACAAACACCACGCAATTCCCCAAAGCCACAAAACAAAGCCCACGGCTCCCCTTTGATTTCCCACAAATCCAGCGACCCCCTGACCTCCAAACCCACAAACCCACAACCCCCCCGCCCCCCCCCGCCCCACGGCTCGGGGTTTGGAACCGGCGGTTTCTCGGCAGGCGTGGACCTGCAGCGGGGCACCATCACGGTGCAGGCGGGCTGCCGGGTCTCGCAGATCCTCGAGGAGCGCGTTGCTTGGAGCGGTCGCCCGAAAAACCGACTCCCTGCACAAAAGGAAGCCGCCAGTTGGATGTTTGCTAGGTCCAGCTCGGTGCCCTTTCTCACCCCTTTCTTTTTTGGGCGGAGAGTTCGGGACCCTACTAAAATAGACTGCAGAAAAAAGTTGGTACCCGCACTCTGACCTCTCTGCTGGAGGACCTAGTTTAAGGGTCATTCCCTCATTCCCTGCTGAGCACCAGCAAGTTTGGACTCCCCAAGATGGCGCAACAGTTGTTTTTTCTCCCTCCTGGTTTCCCTTAAAACCACCAAAAACAACACACCCAAATGGTCTCTCGCCCACATGGAACCTACCAGCGAGTCCCTAGCAAAATGGTCAGAACCAGGATCCCCTGAGGTCCATGTTGGATAGGTAAAATGGGTTGGGCCATGTGCACAAAAGCTATGCCTGGTGACCTTTCTTTGGACAGGTGCTAGTACTCACCAGGTATTGCAGGCACGATTTTTCGATAATCGGCCTGGAGCTTTGAGTCAAAAGGGAAACCACAAGGGAAGCCCAGCAATTTAATTCACCATCTTCCGGAAAAAAATGGGCCCGATTCGAAACAGTGATTCACCCCAACCTTTGACCCAGTTTGTTGCGAAATTTCGTTGGGGCCAGCTGGACATCAAATTTAGGTACGGTGTGTTTATGAACTTGTTGGAGGCGTTCCTATTTTGTGGCTTCATCAACTTGTTTTTGTTTCTTAACTTTTCGGAGGGTTTCATCGCCATAGCCCCAAGCCATAGCCATAGCCTGGGACTAATATTCGTGGGTGTGTCTTTTCTCCTTTTTCCCTTCCGAGCCGGAGCCAAGTGGACTCGCCCCCCCTCCCCCCCTCATCATCAGCATCCTCATCAACATCCTGCTCACCAGCATCATCTTCTGCATCATCTTCACGAATCTTCTTGGCGAGATTTCGGCCTTTCGTTCGGTTGCACTGTCCGGCAGGGTAGAACTAACCCCCCCCCCCGCCCCAACCATCGATCCGCGCTGTGGATCCGCTCCGCGGCTCCAGGAGCTGCGGAAGCGAGGCCTCACCCTGGAGAACTTCAGCTCCATCACCGCGGGGAGCCCCGGGGCGCGGGGGTCGCGGCCGCGGGTCGCGGTCCAAGTCCGGGGAGCCCAGGGGATTTGATGGGTGAGGCCAAGGTCCCCAGAAAGTGATGGGTGATTTGCGGGGTGAGGCCACACTTCTTTTCCGGAAAGGTGAGTTGATGCTTGATTTGATGGGTGGTTTGAAGGTGCTCAGGTTCCCAGAAAGGTGATACCAATGTTACACCCCCCCCTATCTTTCCTGGTTGCAGGTTGAAAGCTGGAAAACGGCGAGGGTTCCTAGGGATCCTACAGATCCTAGCGGGATTTGGTACACGAGCAGGAGGGGTGAAGCGAGGGGTGGGAAGTTCAGAGGTAGCCACGGTTGAGAATGGAGCCGCGGAGTAGCCCGCCAAAGCTTTCGTGAGCTCATCGTTCAAGCCATATTTCAAGCTTCGGCTTCGACGAAAATCCAGAGTCAGGTTGAAGACATTTTCGCGCGCGTGCACCACGTGCCAAAAACCTCCCTCTCGGCTTTCTGGGGTGCGCCATCGGTTCGACTGGGCTGCTTCCCGTCGCAAGGAGCAGCAGGCGGCCGGGTGGACGCAGGTCTCGGCCCACGGCACCGGGGCGCGGATCCCCCCGGTGGACGAGATGGTGGTGGCGATAACCGCCGTGAGCCCCGCGCCTCGGCCCGCTGAAGGTTTTCGGGATCGAGTTGCTGCGTCGCTGGGGGGTGGTTCATCGCCACGCAAAACAGCAGAAGAAGAAGAAGAAGAAGAAGAAGAAGAAGAAAAAGAAGAAGAAGAAGAAGAAGAGGAAGCAACAAACACCGGTAGACTCAAAAAAGGGGAAGCTTAGATAGTGATGGGCAACTAGCCCAGCAGACTTGCCATGGCTACACACACACATTTTGTTTCTGGGGGGGGGGTTGGGCACATAACCATGCCCATCAAATATATGGGTGGTGCCACATAAAGCACTCAATATTCACAAGATGATTGCAGCACCACAAAATACATATATATATATATGGTCCTCTTTTGGGAATTAGCCCACCCCCTACGAGCTTGCTCAGCAAACGAGCAGCGCCCAACAGAAAAAATCCAACGGGCTATGTTAGCTGCATGTGACTACCTGGTTTAGTTGGGGTTGTAGTCGAGCTCATATAAACCCTTATAACCCGAGAACCACAAGTCCGCTCGAGTGAAATCAACGGACGGGCCGCTCAGATGGAGCCCTCTCCCTCTCTTTTTGTCCCGCGAGGAGAAAGGCGTTCTGAAGCTCACAGAGGTAGACAAGCTCTTCCCCTGGATGCTTGGCCTTGGATTCCCTGGCCCGGAAAGGTGGATGCCCTGTTCGCCGTGCAGTTATAAACCAACCAGAAGCTACGGGTTGAATTATTAGAGCCGAGCGAAAAGGGCCCACAAAAAATTCTTTCAGAGCAAGCTCGCTTCTTTTTGGACATCCCACAATTTCTTTGCTTGTTTGCTTGGCACCCTCGTGCTTCGACATTTTCTGTGGGGAAAATGGTAGTGACCCATGGGACCCCCCGACGCCCGCGTTAGAGCGCGCTCGCGCTCGCGCTCCTTTGAGTCCGTGAGGATGAGGGTGGGCCTTGGGGCGCTGGGCGTGGTCCAGGAGTTGACCTTGAAGGTGATCCCAAGGCGTGGCGCCGTGTTTTTCTATACCCGGGTTGGGTGCTGAATACAAACCATGGGTTTTAAACCTTATTGGGTTGGGTGCATGTTTTTCCAAAAGAAACATTTATATTAAAGGAACACATGTAGCGGTTTTTTTTTGTCATTACTGTCAACTCAGTGGGGTTTTTGTGTAAATGGACCCCTCCTTTGAGGGGTGGATTTGCTGTGCAGAAAAGTGTTTGAAACCACTAAGTCTGTGGGGGGTTCTCTTGTCTTTTGAGCCAGGTGCTGAAAAACCCAGGCTAGATGAAGGTTGGGAAGGGATAATCTCAACCATAAATGACGACACAGGTTGTTGCCATTGTTGGTCGGTCTGATTCCTATTTTGAGAAACCCGTATGTGTTTATGTATTTTTTTCTTCATATTTTTTGCTTCGGTTAATTTTTAGTGGGTGGACCGTGGACCACACCAAGGCTTGGACAGTCAAAACATGTATCGCCCAGGTACACACTCCATGAAAAGACCTACTGCTGCACGTATGCGGAACTCGAGCGGGACCACAAGCGCCTGCTGCAGACCTACCGACATGTCCGTGCCTTGTATTTGACGCAGACGCCGTTACCGGGGTTGTGGGAACTCAATGAATTGCACGCTGGGTCCGACTGGACCGTCCCGGCAAGCCAAGCGCGCTGCTGAAAGGCAGTGCATGACTCATTTTTTTGGCTTACACGCTTGTTGCTTGAAGCTGATGCTCTTTGACAGCGTTTTGCGAGTGATTTGCTGCTCTTTGAAGCTTTTGCTGCCGCTACGAGTGCTTGTACATCTTTTTGTTTGGGATCCCCCACTTCTCTTGGATAAGGAAACTCGCAAAAGATGATGGTTTCCGACGTGGCTTCCCTTTGAAACCCCCACAAAAACGGGCACCAATGATTCAACAACAATGACGAGTCACCCATAGGCTACGTCACCCCCCCCCCCCCCACACCCCCCCTCCCCCCCCCCCCCCCCCCCCCCCCCCCCCCCCCCCCCCCCCCCAGAAGAAAAGAAAAGAAACACAGGACGCGCCACCCATAGGCTACATGTGGATCCCCTACACAATCAACCAAAAAAGATGTCGAGTCAACCATAGGCTACATGTGGATCCCCTACACAATCAACCGCAGAAAATGGTCGAGTCACCTATTTCAGGCTAAAAACAGAAAAAACAACAACCAATGAAAGGACGAGTCCGTCAAAGGCTACATGTGGATCCCCTACACGGACACCATCGTGGTGGTGGTCTCCAATGTGCCGAAGGACGCGCTCGCCGCGGCCAAAAGCTGCCAGGCGCCGCTGCCGGAGGCGCAGCGGGTGGAGCCGCTGCGGCGGCTGCTGCGGCAGCTGCAGCCGGCGCCCGGGGCGAAATGAGCGCGGCCGCTTTTTTTGGGGTTTCCAGAAACATATTTTGGGAACCCAGCAGAACCCCTAACAGTTTGCAGGAACCCACCAGAAGCATATTTTGGGAACATATTTTGATCAGTCCGTTTGGCTGTGGGTCAAAACCAATGGAATCCAATTTTGGGGTAGGTGCACCACCCTTTTTAGAACCTATTTTAGCGGGGATTGGGATGTTCGGGTACGGGATTTTGACCCATGGCCATTTTTTTGGGTTCCCAGAAGCAGATCTTGGGAACCCAGCAACAGATTTTGGGAACAGATTAGGATCAGAAACAGATTTTGGGAACCACCAGAACGGCTCTTTTTCCCTGGCCCAAACTCCCAAGAACTGCCCAAGACAACAACTGAGTGCTTGGGAGGTAACAAGGATTCTTTAGCAGCCCCTGGATTCAAGCCCTTTTGGTGGGGGAAAGAACAAGCAGAACTCTGGAGAAAAATGAGGTGGCAGCAACGAGCTGGGGGTCTTCTTAGTTTTGAACGATGTGAACCAGTGTTCTTTTTTTGGAATTGGGTCATTTTGGGAATGACTTGGTTTGGGTTGGAAGGAATGACCATTGACCAAATCGCCTTATGGCCATTGGAACAACACTAGGCGGGGATGCCAGAAAGGGCCCCGAATATTTTGACAACCCCTCCCAGAGTTTTTAGTTGTTTTCTATCAGGGGTAGACCTTAGTTGGTGGTATGCATTGGCGCTTTGGGGAGTTGACACCACCAAACCACCGCTTCGACTCCAAACCACCAAGAGGGAACCTGAACGGGTTGAATGATGCGCCGGTGCTCAGCCAATCAGGGAATGACCCCGAAAAAATGCCATCCAACTGGTGGTTTCCTGTATTCGAGAATCCCAGAATTTTTCACATTCCCCACCTATCGCACCGATCGCAAGACGACCTTTGTTTGGAAATCCCCCAACTTATCGCAGGAGATCTGCAGAAAATCCCAGGAAATCCCCCATAAATCATGCTATTTCCCAGGAAATCCCATGGGTTCATTCCAACTCATTCCCTACCAATGACCCCACTAAACCGTCCAACGGGGGGGGTCCTTTCTTCGGGAATCAACCCGGGTTCATTCCCACATTCCCTACCTATCGCTCCGATCGCAAGATGAGCCACAATTGCAGATGAAGGTTAGTAAGGGACAATCCCAACCATAAATAGTTGCGGATATCCGCCTTCTTAATTCTTGAAGCATGGATCTGGGTAGACCATTTTGATACCCCTTCCTTTCAACTGGGCGCTGAAACGCGACGTGCTGAGAACTGCGGGGACCTGGATGGCAAGAACTTCGCGGAGCTCCGGGAGAAGCTGTTGGTGTTGGATCCTCTGAACCCCAGCCATGTGGCCAAGGCGGCCGGGGGAGAGAAAAAAAGACACATTTTTCCTTCTTTGTTCTGGCGGTTGAAGGCGTTTTGCACTTTCTTCTTCTTTGTTTCTATCCTTGTTTTTTTTGTTCTGGTGGTTGCAAGGCGTCTTGTTTTGTTCCCTTCTTTAGTTCTATCCATGTTTTTTGTTTCTGGTGGTTGAAGGCGGTTCGGTTTCCCTCGTCAACCGAATCTGGTTTTCCAAAGTAACTTGGGCGAGTTCTTTGTTCCCTTCCTTGACACCTCCGACTTGCAACTGTTGGTTCCAATCCGAAAAACGCAGAGAGAACCACGCCCAGGTGAGCCAGATCAAATCTAAAGTTTTTTTTTGGTGGGAGAGGAGGAAACTGGGCTGGGCTGTTTTTTTTGGCCATTTTTGGGTTTGCTTTAAGGGACACCAGAAGGGCGTCGCGCACTTTGAGGGACGACCCAGAAAGGGTGGAAAGCCTTCTTCGGTGGTATCACCTTTGGGGTTTGTTTTAAAGGGAAGCCAAGAGGAACTCCCACCCGCCCACCCCCACCCCGCCCTTTTTTTTTGGGGGGGATCCGCTTCCTATTGTGGATGGACAAAATCCTGCACCACTTTGAATCCATGGGAAGCCATTATTTGCTGGTATTTACGGGGGGAATCATCCTTCCGGGGTTTCTTGGGTGGTGCGAAATGGACTTCGTCCACCCACAGTATGAGACGAACCGCATTTTTGGGGGACACTTCCCCATTCTTTCCAGGATCCGGATCTTTTCAGAAAACCTCAGACCCCACAAAAACTGGTTTTGGAAAATAATGATGGTTCAAAAAGAATGGAAGAGGAATGAACCCCTAGAACCCCTAGACCATCTTTAGAGCTCGGGTTTTCCAGGTGAACCAGGCGGAGGCGCAGTTCTGGCGGAAGTCCAGCGGGGAGCGCGTGGCCGACAGCACGGAGATCCTGGGCTTTGAATGCGGGGGCTCGTGCCTTGGCTAAGACCCAACCGGAGTTGTGACAGGAGCATAGGTGTCCTTTTGCTCGGTTAGTTCGGGGACAGAAAAACATGGAGTTCCACTGGTTCTGATTGGACTTATGCCCTCATTTTCCCAGACCCTGAACATGGGAAACCAGGGGCCGGGAAACACGCAGCCTTGGGAGAGGGTTCTCTTGGGTACACCCTTCTGTCCTCCATGCCTGCAGGATTTGGTTCGGGCACTTGTCATGGGTGTCTTAGGAACAGCTTTCCTTGTGATGGGTTTTGTTCACCATGGGAGGGAGGGTTGCCTTCTTGATACTCTACCAGGGTCCCAAGGATACACTCTTCAGCAGTTCTCAAGTTAGGTAGAAAAATAGGCCGGAATGGTTCTAAGTGGCTGTGGGTCAAACCGAATGGGATCCCATTTTGGGGTAGGTGCACCACCCATTTTTGAACCTACAATATAGTGGTTGGATTGGGATGTTCACTGGGGGTACGATTTGGATTTTTTGACCCATGGCCAAGTGGGAAGGGTTGGCGTGGCTATGCATCCTAACCAGGTTTTCCCTTCCCAAATTGGTGGGCAAGGCGGCAGCCGGGCTCGAGGCCCTTCAGTCGAAAACTCTGGACGAACTTTGGGAAAACCATTCTGGTGGAAGCAAATAGTCCCGTGTTTTTTTTGTCTTCCTTTTTTTGTTTCAATGTTGTTTTTTGTTAAACAAGTTTTGTTTTTCTGTTTCCCGTTTCGCTCTTCTTTATCGGGCCAGTAGCCAACCTACTTGTTGGGAAGTGAGTTCTTCTAGTTCACTTGTTTCGTTCTTTCAAAGGTGCTACATAAAGTCATGGGCCAGTATCAGGCCAAGGTATGACAGGCTGCAGCGCGCATGTTTTCAGATGCGACCAATGAATCACGCTGTGCCAAGGGCTGAGCTGGCCAATTTTGGCGAGCATTCAACGCACACGTTCTAGAAATCAGAGCTGTCTTTCCGCTGTTTCTGTGTGACGGCCATTTGTTTTGAGCGCTCATCGGAGAGTCCTTCTTGGAGGAACACTGTGTTGCAGGCCATTCCTCGGCTTCGTTTTTTTCCTTTCACAGGGCAGTGGTCGGGGCGTCCTTTGAGCATTACTTGCCATGCATGGCCCCACGCAATGCTCCCGCAGATGCCTACCCTGCCTTGAGCCAGTTATCTACGTTAGGCAACTCGCAAATCGCCGGCTCTCTCGCCAATGTGAAAAGCTGAGGCAGTGGGTGCTCGAGAACTGCTTCCCCTGCGGCACTATCGATGAGCCCAACCTGCGAGACATCCAATACGTCAAGGAGATGCGCGGGCCCCAGCTTCCGGTTTGGGAGGTGTGCGGCCGAGAAGAGTGAGAGTGCGGGCGTGTTTTTGTTGAGGCCCTGTACCCTTTTCATCATGGAAGTAACTTGGTTGGTTTGGATTGGATTGGTTTGGATTGGATTGGTTTGGATTGGATTGGTTTGGATTTGGAGTTGAGGCCCTAGTTCTTGTAGAGGCTGCATGGAAAGCCATCCAACCTTCACACCACCAAAAATTACCCAATTCTCAGCCACCATCTCGCGGGAAAATATCGGGGGTTGGGAAGCTTCAAAAGGAGAACCAGTTTTTTGGGGATCCCTTGACGGATATGCCACGCCCAAGGTAGCAGAACTGGCAATGCCCTTTCAACCACAAGGGGTATGGTATCCCTTGGTTTGTGTCAAAGGTCCGGGCGACTCAAAAAGAAGAGAGATGGGCACTGACATTTAGACACAGCCATCTTAGATTGACCGCGAACGTGGTAGTTTGTGGCAAGGAAGGACATCATCGAGGCAAACCACATTGCCGCCGCCTCCCCCATCGAACAGCGGTGGACATCGAGGAGAGCAACACTCCGTCCCAATCTACAGAGTCCTCACAGTTGGCCTGGGTTGACAATTTCCGCGTGGTAATTGCACTATCGAAAGTGGCCGCACATACGTGCTCCTTTATTTTGTGTCAATGGGAAGTCAACTACTCTACGAACATCAAGATGTATTGGGTGACCCTTTCCTGGGTTCAAACAAATCGGTTCCTTTCGGATGCTACGCATGAACCCATCTATTAAAGAGCCCGCCTAAAGTACCGATCGTCTTTGCATGTGCAGGGCGCATGAGGGTGGTTTTCGATGTCACTTGGGGGATGGGTGGGTTCGGCAGGAATGCTTCTGACCATCCGAGCGGCCGGATTCGTTTTGACCGTGTTTTGTTTTTGGTAGGCCAAAGCTCGAAAGGCCGTGAGGAACTTCAATGCAGATCCCAAGACCTTACCCTTCCTCCAACTAACATGGCACCTGTGGGGAGGTACCTGGAAGATGAAGCTCCTTTTGAAGGGACCATTTCCCTGTCAGTTGCCATGTGGGAAGGAGGGCAACTTTGAGGGCCAAGGCTTCAAAACCAGGGCCTTTGGACCCTAGGGATGGTGCATCTGCAGTGTCCTTGCAGATCCGCACGCTGGCCTTTTCTCACGCGTCCCACTTGCGGAGCTCAGAAGTCACGCCTGGGTTTGAACGAGAGGAGCACCAGCCCGATGAGCCCTGCTTTCTCCAAGGAGGCCTGGAAGTTCGCAGGGTAGGTGCAGCCATCTTAGTCTGGAAGTGGCTTTTGAGAACCATGTGGCTGTGGTTGTCAAAACCGTTTTGGGATCCCATTTTGGTTGGTAGGTGAATTCTGCACCCATTCTAGAACCTATTTTAGTGGTTGAATTGGTTGATGTTCACTGGGGGTACGATTTGGATTTTGAAAAGCCCATGGCCATACAGGAACACCGAAATCCGTGTTTGGGGTGCAAATCCCTTTGACCCATCCGGGCAGATTGGCAAGGCAGATCTAAGGGCCATGTCTTCTGTGCAAGCGAAGAATTCTGGGACAGACGAATAAACCAGTGTGCGTTCGGGTTTGAGCCACCCAGGGCAGTAGCGACATTGAAAAGGCGACATACTGTGCAGGGATAAAAAAAATCCTGCAGTTGGTAGGCGCCAAGTGGAGGATTTTGCCCATCTTCCACGGTCGGGGCCAGGCCAATGCGCTGTTCTCCTGGGTGGGCGTCATCATGTACATCACCTCGGAGCAGCAAGCGCCGGCCATCAAGGCAGCTGTTGCGTGTCGCGCTTGTGCGAGCAGGAACAGCTGGCCGTGGCTGAAAACATGGTGACACCCTGGTAAATGGAAGAGACGAAGTCCAGGTCTTGAATTTTGAGCCACAGCTCCTTGAAACTTTAGACTGCATCTGTGGCTGAGTGGGGACACGCTCGAGGTTTTTTGTTGGCTCTTTACCAAGCGCAAGAGAGTTTGGCCTTGGCAATGCTTTGTTGGACTCAGCGCTGGCCACAATGTGAGAACACCCGAAGCAACATGTCCGGAGCTGGTGAGGCCAAGTTCAAAGAGTACGCCAAGCACCACGCCGACCTCACCTTCAAATATGACTCTCGCAGTCGAAGTTGCAGATTTATTCCAACTGGCCAGGATTCAAACTTGGTTCCATTTTCATCAGGGGAGGAATTCATTGGTGCTTTTCAGCGGCTTGGCACACTTCCATCTGCCACGTTGGCCTCTTTTGAGGCCTCGAGCAGACAGTTCTTGTGTTCCCAAGCAAATCACGCAACACCCCCAAAGGGGATAGGACCAATTTTGCTGATTGAATCAAAGGTGTTTTTGGGGGCATGTACTTTTATCATAGCATGTTTGATCATTGCCATGGCCAATGCGCCATTTGGCTCAAGCTTTTCAACCTGGCAAACACAATTGCTGTTCCCGGCGCCATTACTTCACGGCACGGCTGGACATCCGCTAGCTGGAAAAGCGGCGGCTGCACCTGGTCGTGGTGTCGCTCTTTGGCGGGGGCAGGTCGAGGACTGTTTGGGGTTGGTGTGTGCATTGTTTGCTCGCTTGCTCGCTTTGCTTTGCTTGCTCGCCTGCGTTGGTGCTGCTGCTCGTGCGCTTGCTGCGCTGCTTGCCCTTGCTGGGTTCTTTCTTCTGTTTGTTAAACTGGCACCCTTTTGGTTCGTGTTTGTGCCGGCCGAGGGCAACCGCTTTGCCCTTGGGACCGGGGGGATAAGGTGGTCTCTTCTTGTTGGTGGGTTAGGGCCTGTTTTATCCATCCCGAAACTCTGTTTCAAACCCTTTCGCAGGTTACCAGCCGTAGGATTCGTCCTCGGTTGGCACCGCGAACCCCATTTTTAACAACCCTGCAGGTGTTGTAGGTTATTGTATATACGATGGCAGGAATCACTGAGGATGGACCTCACGTGGTGACTGATGAATGGGTTCTCGGCCAGGCCGGAATCTTGGACGCTGTGAATGACGACCAGGTGCCCGGACAGCCGATGTTTTCCGGTCCTGATTTCTTGTCGGACCACACCTTTTCCGAAGAAATGCCTTCAGGAAGGTCCAGTGCTACTCGCACTGATGACCTATCTTCTAATGCCTCAAGAGCTAATCGCTCTCAGGGTCATGGGGCTAATCGTCCTGACCATAATGATTCCGTCTCAGGACGTGATGATGACGAGCCCGGTATTGTACCTGGAGCTCAATCCTCATCTTTCCCGGAGCTGATGAATATTGGTCAGTCCGAGTTTCGAAGTTTCGTGACTCCCGAGGTAGCAGTAGACCTGTGCCAACCAGTAGCATAGCTTTTCAAGTGCTCGGTAATCCCGAACCTGGTACATCCAGTGGAATTGCATTTGATGTTCATCTGCCGACCGAATCCGGTGGGCTCGATTGGAGAGCCTCATGGCCCAACGACGGAAATATTTTTGGTATGGATTTTGCCGCATGGATGCCAGGGCCACCAGCCCCGTCATCTTTCCCGCAATTCCAAAGCCCAAAACGGGCTGCTGGAAGCGATGAATTCATGCTACCTTTATTGATTGAGAATCTCAATCCTGATGTGGCCAGCCGTAACGTCAGGCCAAGGCCGTCGGTAAACCCGACCATGAGGAACATGTCCCCGCCCCCAGGACTTTCAGGATTTGAGAGCCCTAGGGAGCGTAATATTGTAGATAGATTGGATTTGCATCCCAGTCCAACCCCAAGCAAACGATCAAGGTCAAATTCGACTGGATCGCATAGGGCAAGGGGGATGGATCGGGAAACTGCCCACAGGGGTAACCCCAGTGCGCGGGACTCAGGACGCGGTCGATCAGGTGATCCAGCGTCAATCATTGGTAGAGATCCGCTAAACGCGGACACACTCGTTAACGTGCTTGATGGAATCGAAGCATTCCAGGAGGAATTTAATAGGTCAAGTGGCATGAACGCACAAGGTGTTCGCCCTACGCCCAATGCGGCTTCCATTTTCGCTCTGGACGACATGGACGGAACTAATGTTCCGATAGAATCTGAGTCCATGATGGCATCAAGTTCCAGTCGCAATCATACCATCAGTAATGTGACTGATATTGAGTCGATGTCTGAGTCTAGAGTGTCCAATGCGACCGACTTGAATGACATTGTTATTGCTGACTCGAGACCTGATGTTCCTATGCGGATGGATAGGCCTGTTGTTCCTAAACTGCCCGTGGTCAAAGGCCTGGGCATGACACAACCCTCTGCGGTTCGTGATGCTAGGAGATCTGCTCCGTATCAGAGTCAATCTCCTAATCGGAGTGAGTTCCCACGGCCATCAACGGGCGTGCAGGATGATTTCAGAACTCCTCCGAGATCTAATCCAATCATGGTTGATTTGTCCACTCCTCGTGATCGTGGATCAGGATTTGGTCCTACGAATGAGGAGCAACCCAACGAGGTTGCTGATCTTGTAACAGCCCTTGAAAGAGGGAGAGTGGACTCTTCGGTAAGTGCGATTATTCATCGCCTGGTTGCTAAGGTCGAAGACCTTGGTCGTAGGAATGATAGAAGTGATCAATGCATCAAGCAGCTCTCCACTGAGGTTAACTCGTGGAGGGCCAAATACGACCAATGCGTCCATGTGAGTGGCACGTGTACGCAGGCTGCGAACGCGGCCATGCAGCTATCACAAGGGACTAAGGACATCGTGACCGAGCTTGGCCAACGCGTCAAGATCGTGGCCGATCGCATGATAAGCATAGGCGATGCCCTAAACGAACGAGCCAGCTACGATGATGTCGCTCGCTCCATTACCCAGGTTCAAACTGTTTTTGAATCCCTTTCTGATCGAGTAACCGGGCTTATAGCTCGTGTTGATATGATCGAGAGATCTCTAGTGGAGAGCCAATCCAACCATCCTGCTATTGGTGGAGTGAACCTCAAAATCGAGGATCTGTCCACTAGGATATGTCAGATTGATAGGATGATGCAAGATGTCGAACAACGCTGGACTAATAATAGGGACGGCATAAAGTGGGTTAAAGACCAAATTTATGAGACACAGGCCAACCTTGAGATGAAGTCAAGGGACTGCAAATCCTACACGGACAAGCAAAATACTCACAACATGGCCGTTTCGACTACGCTCAACAGTAAGCTCGAGCAAATGCTCGAGGTGCTGGGTAATACGGCCCAGAGAATCAGCTCCATCGAGTCAAGGCACTCGAACCAGGCCTCAAGTAGTGGGTTGAACGATCACACAGGAGGAAGGCGAGCCGCGTCCCATACTCCGGACAAGCGGCCGGCCACCTCCGCCTGGCCCTCCTGATGGCGATCCTCCACCACCTCCTCCTCCAGATTGGCAAAGCCCCGGAGGAGGGGGGAAGAAGAGTGCTGCCGGTGGGAACCCTGGCAACCCTGGTAAACCCAGATGTAAATATGTAGGTGATGGATATTCATCTCATGGCTGAGTTTCACTGCAAGGGATGCAGAGGTGATATTTGTGAGTATTGTTTCTCTTTTAAGGAGAACCTGTGCGAAGAGTGTTCCCGTAACGGACCCCGATGCGGTGTCTGTAGGGAGAGCTCGTTCCTGACCAAGGGAATTGAGTGTCAGTTTTGTAAGACCTACTACTGCACCAGACATTCTGCTGGGCAGGATGACTACAGGAGATTTGGATTTGTCAGGGCCTGTTGTCTTGCATGCCTTAGGGACGAGACTAGGAGAAGAAGGGATCCCGATGGTAACCGTGTCAAGAATAGATCGCCTGGGGGCGTACCTGAGACGAACCCGACGAGGTCGTTCTCGCCGCCTCTGCGGCCACCCGTTGACAGATTCCGTGATACCCCAAATGGAGGTCAACCCAATGCGGCTAACCTTCAGAGTCCTCCGAAGGCTACGCAGTCCGTGCCCCTGGATAAACGTGAAACCGGATATTATCCAGGATTTGATCCCAACGGTACAAGGCCGAAGGATCCTTCGGGCCTTGAGCCGCCGACCATGCGTGGGCCCGATCCTCCTGACAAGAAATGTCGGATGTGTGATCGGGATATTCCTGATCCCAGCAAAATTGAAGAATGTAGGGTATGCATGAAAAGGGCATGTGAGATTTGCATTCCGAAGGCTACTCGCCTTTGTCCTGTATGTGCATTGTCAATCGGTAGTTCTCAGGTCCCACAGCATCTTTTCGGAACTGGTGGCGGCGGGTACGGTAGCCATCATGATCCGAACTGTACAGCTGCGACTAAATGCATCTCCATAGACCTCCCGCCAGAGCCCGACGCGGCTGGGCTGAGGGTATGGATAGCCAATATGAAGGAAGCTGTTAGCAATGCCTACAGCTATGATGGGCTATACGTCATCAATTGGCTTACTGAAGTCGAGAAGGCAAAGACCTTTGAGGAACTGGATGGGGAATGTAAGTACCACATCCTTGAAGCCAGGTTCAATGCAGCCATTCGGAAGTGCATCAAGACTGTTGCGATCATTGATAAGATTAATCGTCTCACCGAGGCCGCTCAACGGTCCAACAATCGCATCAAGAGTAGGCAGATCCTGTGGCTCTTATACGACCACTTAAGGACTGCGAACATTGGAGAGCAATCATTCAGGATAATTGAGCTCTCAAACTTGCGATGCAGTGTTTCATCCTTCTATACTGAAGAGGAGCGACTTGAAAGGTTCATCGCGAAGTGGGATCACATCCTTGCGGGTCTCGATGAACCGCTGACCGAACAGGTGAAGCGGTCGCTATTCAGTGAGAAGGTTAGACACCTCAACTGTTTGGCTCATGATATCAGGGAATGGGATAGGAACATATCCAACCCTGATGTTTGTAGCTATGAATGGCTTCGTGCTCGTTGCAAGAACGAAATTGACCGCTGGAGGGTTCGTAAGAATCAGGTCAATATGCACAAAGATTTTTACGAACGATCTCAGTCCAGGGAGAGAGCCCAGAAACCTGGCGCTCCTGGTCCTCCCGTTAGGAGACGATCTCCGTTTGGAGACTCCCATAGGCCTAATCGGCCTCCTAGTGATCCAAGGAAGAGGACCGGTAATACCCCTAGTCCTCATCGTAGGGACAGGTACTCTCCCAGGAATCGGGAGCAGGACAAGCGGCGTACGCCTAGCCCTAG